CTCTCTCTCTCTCTCTCTCTCTCTCTCTCTCTCTCTCTCTCTCTCTGTGTGTGTGTGTGTGTGTGTGTGTGTGTGTGTGTGTGTGTGTGTGGCGCCCGGCGCCATGGACTATCCCTACGCTACATGCCTTGTGTGCAACATTACAGGACAGTAGCAGCACTTCCACAGACTGCACGAAGGAAATTGTGCTGATGATCTGCATCAGCCGGCCTTATGTACCTGATGCAGTACCCAAATCTGGATTTTTCCCGACCGGTACCCAAGCGGCCATCGGCCATCTGTTTCCCATGCATCTATATGTTTCATGGACTCTACTCCAGCACTGAGCTGGGTGTTGGCCTCTGACAGATACCAAGTTATCAACACATTACAGTCTAGGGCCTTACGCGACCAACTGGATTTATCTACAGGGCCTACCGGAGCAATCCTATCAGTGGGTCTACATTATATGGGACTCTGGGAATGGGAATTTGGCACTGGGACTCTGAGAATGCATCCTTTCAGAAAAAGAAAGGAGACAGGAAATGCTATCAGAAGAGGTCTTTGGCAGCTGATTGGAGGAGGGGGGGGTGGGGAAAGAAACAAAAAGAAAAAAGGAAGAGAACAATTAATTACAGGAAACAGTAAGCGGATTCTCCTGATGATAAAGTCACAATCCACTACCTGCCAGCATGCTCATCATCAAAGCGTAATGCAAAGGCGAGACAACTGCCATAGCAAACACTTACTAACCCACTGCTCATGAGAGGGTTCATTGGATTTCCCCAGCATCAAATAAATGACACAAAATGTGGTCCCCACAAGTATCGCAACATGAAATCACGCTAAGTGCCTTTGCACTGTTTGCAGGCACTTGCAAGAGACGGCTTTCGTCAAACTAAAAATGAAACCACAGCCTCAATGTTACATGATTAGAAAGTTATAAACGCATGCGATGGGCCTCATTAGAAAGTTATAAACACATGCGATGGGCCTCGTGCCTACTCTCCAAAGATGAGCAACATGAGACTGAGTCTTGTGCTAGAACAATGGAAAGATTCACCACCACATTTTTTTGTGGAGAGTACTGGAGCCAGGCCTTGCATTTCCATGGTAGAGTCACACACAAACTGCACCTGTTGAACTGAAATTCTTCAGTAATGCAAACTGTGGCTAACGGAAGAATTTTCAGACCACCAGCAGTTGTAAAATTCAAAAATATAAATAATACACACATCCATGATCACTAATTCATAAATAGTAAATACTGAATAGAAAATAGTCAAATAGACTGAAATAGTCAAATAGTTGACAAATACTATATTTTTATTACTTCTATTATGCTGCAATTTTTTGCCATAATTTTCGACAATATAAAACTGCGCATCCCAAATATGCCATACCCAATGTACCATAATATTGGCACAAATGATTAAATTACTAGAAATCAATCTTTTTATTGAAGTTCAATCGGCTGAATTTAGCCTGGACAATGACACAGACCATCGTGGATTCTGCAACAAGTCTGGTTCACGCCTGTCCACTCAATCTCCCTGTATCCATTTTGCGCATTGTCGATCAATGAAACACATGCAAACTGCAGCCTTCCATCCATCTGAAGTCCAGAACGACTTCCACAATATCCTATCCGCTAAGTACCATGACCTGTCACAACCCCACCCTCCTTACTTTTGTCTTTTTCTCCTCCTCCCTCCTCCCTCCTCCCTCCTCCCCCAACATCGCTGAACACAGCTATGGAACCTTATCACAGTGCCGTCTATCAAGTCTGTTTGCAGCCTCTGGTCAGTAGCTACCATCTTTGCCCCGACAGTGTTGGACTGAAAACATTGCTTGTCTATGTTCATGATGATGGTGTGCCGGTGGCATTTGCTTCAAGAATTATCACTCTCTCTCCTTGTCT